AAAACAGAAGAGAAAGCAAACAAAAAAAGAGCAACATAATAAAAACAGCACCATCACATTGCATCTATTTCTACCTGCTTGTGAACTCTGGTTAGCTGCTCCAGGTTGTTCTCCAGGAAGCTGATCTTTTGCTTCTGGGCAGCACTGCTCTCTGAGTCCATCTGAGCATTCTGTCCAAGCACAGCAAACAACTTTGTTATCTATGTAATTTATTTTGTTGCTTTCAGTTTTTCAAATCAGTGTCAAAGTGAAAAATAATTCTGTAACCAAAGAGCCCTGATCCAGAGAATCCCATCTGTGCCTAAATGTGGTGATAAGTAGCAGTTTTTGGATGAGTACAGCAGCGTAATATATTCTCTGTGTGCTCCAGGAAAGCCTGCACTGCCTTTGTCTATCTCATCAAACTTCCGCTGGAAGGCAGGAGACGAGCAGCACTGAGGGCCCAGGTCCCTAAATTACAGCTGCTACCTTTGAAGAATCAGATGGCCTACTTATTGCAGACACTTTCTGTTGTGTTCCCTGGATTCAATTAAAATTTCATTAAGGATGCAGATTTAATGGGAGTGTTGCCGGCGCATGAGCGAAATATGGAGCTGTTTGACTCACTCCAGGTAAACGTCGTGGTCGAGGCAAGAAGAGGTCGTGTGATATTGTGTAAGACAGGAGTTTTAACAGATGACAAATCAGATCACAAGATGGCGATTACTGTGATGATCCACCATGGCAACATTCAGGGAATGGGAGGTTACATATCTGCTCCGAGAGCTGAAATGTGTTCCGTCACAGAAACACTTTGAGGACTTGTACCTTTTTTAATCTTGTGGATAAGTCTTGGACAAAGAGCCTTCTCAGGTTGTGAAGTGTCTGCAGCTCCCGTGCCTAACACAAGACAAGAAAGACAGGTTTGCAAAGAATAACGGTGACAAGAAATTGCCCTCCAAACTCATGTCACAATGTATCATTTACTGCTGCTGGCAACAAATCTGGGTTATATCTGGGCTAGTGAGCCATATAAATAATATTGAGGCTGTACTGAGATGTCACATCATGTCAGTTCATACCTCATTATTGCACCTAAAAAGTACATCTTTGAGCACCACTACTCCTTGTGCAAAAATACATGCATGTGGCAGGAGGTCACATGATTAAAGCTGATTAAAGGAAACTAATTACACCAATTTCACTAGAAAGGCTTTCCATAATCCACCCACCCATAGACACCCATTCATACTCACATTGACACCAGAAGTGACAATATTTGCTAATGCTAGCTGAATGTTAAAAATGTTACGGTTTTTCCTCTTACCTCTGTTGTATTGGAGGAGACAGAAATCTCCATAGCAAATGGCCTGTATTTGTATAGCACTTTACTAGTCCCTAAGGACCCCAAAGCACTTTACACATTCAGTCATCCACCCATTCACACACACATTCACACACTGGTGATGGCAAGCTACATTGTAGCCACAGCCACCCTGGGGCGCACTGACAGAGGCGAGGCTGCCGGCGCCACCGGGCCCTCTGACCACCACCAGTAGGCAACAGGTGAAGTGTCTCACCCAAGGACACAACGAGCGAGACTGTCCAAGCCGGGGCTCGAACCAGCAACCTTCCGATTACAAGGCGAACTCCCAACTCTTGAGCCACAATCGCCCAGCAATATACCACTGCTAACAGCTACTTACATAAGAGGTTTCTTGTGTAGTGGGTGAACTCATTTTCTAAGCAAATACAGATTTCAAAACTTGTGGCAATAACTGACCACAGTTTCCTCCAGTCCCTTCAGGTCCTGTCTGGCCTGCTCCCTCCTGTCCTGCTGCACCCTGCAGCACATGAAACAAGCGTTAATAAGACTGGAAAACAGTTCTGCTAAACAAGTTTGCATTTTCCTGTTAAATAAACGCGAGAGATGTTACGTGAGCTCTTCCAGCTGGCGGCTCTTTTCCTGGTCAGCAGCCTTGAGCTTCTCATGCTCCACTCTGAGCCTCTCCTGCTCCAGCATGATCTGCTGGTTCAGACTGCACAGAGGTCAGGGATAAAATCAGCCGAGTGATGTAAGTTTCGCTCAAAGAGACAAGCGTTAGGTGATGTGGTGTCTTACTCCTGCAGCTCAGTGATAAGCTTCTCCTTGGCGTCAAGCTCATCTCTCAGGCTGCTGATCTGCCTATGATGGGCCTCTCTGTGAGTCTGGATCTGCTTCTCCACAGCTTCCTGAAGAAAAAAAAACAGCCAGTCACTGCATGAGATGAGGCGGGCAATTAAAAGCACACTTTGTACGTGTTACAGTACCTTGACTTCATTTGCAGACTGGATCTCGTTCTCTTTCTCCATGGCATTAACCTTCTCTGGAAGGAGAAGAAATGATCCATGTTATTGGGAACTACTGGGATATAACAATGGATCTTCTTTAGTTTCTTATGGCACAAACAAGTACAAACAGTATTTTTCTTAAGCTTGCCACGTCATGTAAACCCTTTTCATAGTTTACTGGAAACAAGATTTAAAGGAGAAACAGGTATTACTTTAGCATGACTTTCAGGGAAATCCATAAACACAGACACTTCTTTCAACGTTCAATGCTAATAATCAATACTTATGACTTATTCAAGTTTAGTTTTACAAATTCAGGTTTAAAACAATAAAAATGTCATGGTCCCTGGATGTTGGACCCAGGATTTTAAGTTTCTTTATGGTTTTAAGGATACCTTTAAGTTTGCCATTTATTATATTCTCAGTTTGTAGGATTCTAGTTCACCTTCTTGCTTATTAAATCTATATCTTTTGTGATCCCTTTGTTCCCCCAGTGACGTTCCCGTGTCTGTCTAGTCTTTTTTATGTTCTGTCTCTGTGTTTAATCTTCTAGCCCTGTGTTAGTTTGGCATGTCATAGTCTGGGTCTCAGTGTGTATGCTTGTTCCTGTTTTATTGTGATAGTCTTGTGTCAAGTTTAACTTCCCTTGTCTTGTTATTCCTGATTTGTTCCCACTTTGTTTCCCATCTGTTTCCTCTCCCTTCATTACCTGCTGTGTATCAGTTGTCTGAGTTTCCCCCTTGTTCTTTGTCACATTGTCCCTCTTGCCGTGGGCCCCTGTGAGTTCCATGTTTCCAAAGAGATTTTTCTAGTTAATAAGTTCTATTATTATTCTGTACCTTGGTTCCTGTGAAGCCACCAGTAAAACTACCGTTAAGGTTGAGTTCTGTTCTCTGTGTCCTGTATTTGGGACCTGCCTGCTGCACCGTGATGCACAACAAAAAATGTATCCAAATATTTTTCACATGTGAGTTGTCACAAAGAATTAAGACAGCTCTGAAGGCAAAATGGGTCTAACCCAGTACTAGCAAGGTGTACCTAATGAAGTGGCCGGTACATATAATAAATACATTTTTAAAGAAATGTGGATTTTACCCTATCTGACTGGTCAATAGCCCTAAAACACCAGAGAAGATTAAATCCTTTTATTCAGGGTTGTTTCCAAGACTTTACTTTTTAAAATCAGTGTGTGAGACTTTGTTTTAAGGTCACCATTGCACCACTGTACCCACTTGCTTTAGCTTTTATGTCCTAAAACATTTGAGTCACTATAGAGCAGGGGTGGGCAATCTCAGTCCACGAGGGCCGGTGTCCCTGCAGGTTTTAGATCTCACCTTGGGTTAACACACCTGAATCAGATTATTAGTTCATGACCAGGCCTCTGGAGAACTTCAGCACATGTTGAGGAGCTAATTTAGCCATTTAAATCAGCTGTGTTGGTTCGAGGACACATCTAAAACCTGCAGGGACACCGGCCCTCGACTGAGATTGCCCACCCCTGCTATACAGACAACTATTAGTTAGTTTAAGGACCTCTTACAGCAGTTTCACTGCCTTCTCCACAACACACCTTTAGCCAAACAGGGCTCCTTGTGCAAAAACAGAATGGAGAGCAGAGAGTGTGTTGCTCACCCTGGGCCCTGGTTCTGACTATTTCCTCACTGAGAGAGTCCACATTCTCTTCCAGCTGTCTTTTCTTCTGCTCCACATTCTGGAGGGACTCCGTCAGGGACTTGATTTTGGCTTCTTGCTAAACAACGACAGGCCAACGAAAGACATGAAAAGGACTCATACAAATTAAATGACAGTTCTTTTAGGCCAGACCCCATTGTTAGGCCCTATTGTTATTGATATAGAACCACATAATCTGACATCTTAACTATATGTCACTATGGCGACAGCATCTGAGATGGCAGCAGTTGTTAAGCAGCTGTTACCTGGGAGATGCGGAGCTGACAGGCAGTCAGGTCGCTCTCAGTCTCGTCCAGCTTCTGGGTGGTCTCGGTCTGTGTGCTCTCCAGCAGCTTGCTGCGCTTCACCATGGTCTTCACCTCTGACTTCATCTTGCTGATGTAGAGACGGGCCACAGTGAACTCTTCGTCAATGAGACCACTGCTCTCTTGTTGCTGAGGACGTGAGAGAACATTACGTAGGTCAAAGACATTCCTCAGACTCAGTCCCACACAGACCATCTACGGAGTTTAAAATAGATTAGGAGTTTATCAAAATTTCTTGAAGAGCATGCAGTTGGGGATACACTGGAAACCAGTGGAAACAAACCAAGATGCTCACAGTTCCTATTAAAACTAGACAACAAGCTGATTGACTGTCGTCTGATCATAAAATATGCAGAACATTTGTCTGCTGAAGCGTTTTCTGTGAGCATCTTTGTGCTTTTACCAGTTTTACATTTGAATCAATCAATTTCACACTGTTGGTTAAACCAAATCTATTATACCAATTTTTTAAGGACTATTGAAAGTCATTATCTGCAGAAATTCAACACTCATAGTTTAGTTTCTGTTTCTTATTTTTCAAGATTGGGTGCTTTTCTTTTTTTGTGATAATAAAGGTTGATTTGAAGTTCTACTTTGGCTGGAACTTGATCAAGGTTCATTTATGTTCTACATTTTCTGACTGAATCCACTAAATAAATTGAATGAGAGATACATCCACAGTGGAATTAAGTGCTTGCAACCAGCCTATGCAAAACCATCCTCATTTTCAGCAAGGATCACCTGAATACCTGATGATGTTGATAGTTCTTAGACCACAAGTTGTTAGCTTGTGGTCTAAAGCACTGTTATCTCATAGTTTTAACCCAAATGTCACTTTTCTGAATATGAAACAGTGTATCAGAGCCAAACTGGGAACCTTGATGTCATTGCTTCCCACAGCGATGCCTATCTCAGCCAGGTCTTTGAGTAATGATGACATCATCTCAGTGACCCTCTTTTTCTGGTGGTTGGTCATCTCCTTCAATTTCTGAAGCTCTGAGTCAATGGAGGCCAAGGAGCTCTAGTGGTGGACGATAACACACATCACAAAGCATCTAGGATTAGTATTAGTGTTTTTACTTCCAGCAAATTCCCCCAAAGCTTCAAGCTGCTCACCGATTTCTCGTTCAGCTCCTCACTGAGAGCCTCAAACTCTTTGGTTTTGTTTTCAACTTCCTGACTCTTCTGGTCGTAGTTGACAGCCAGCTCCTCCAGGGCTTGTAGCACTTCCTTCACTTCCTCCTTGGAGGCTTCATTCTCCGCCAGCAGCCGGTTCAGCTCCGTCTGCAACGTGTGGTGGTCACGGCGAGAGGATGCTAATAGCTAGGAGAGGTAAATGATGCTCAGTGATGCTCTCCTATGGTCAGGTTTGAAAGTATGTTAAAAAATGTATCAACAGCAGGGACTACAAAACAGATTTGTGAACAGTGAAGAAAAATGTGCTCAATCTGGTGAGGCTCCTGTGCTTTCTAAGGGTGAGTTACAGTTTGACCTCTCCTGCAGGGCTACTAATGGTCTGCAATCAGCTGTCACACCAGGTTTATGCTAACAGGAGTGCCTAGGGGGTTTGGAACAGCGGGAAGGCAGAGGGGAAGGAAGGAAGGAAAGAAAGGAAGGCAAGACGGATGCAGTGTCACCTCCTCCTGATCCAACATCTGCTGCTTCAGCGTCTCCACCAACTGAGACTGCTGGTTGATCTCATCGTCCTGCAGGAAAGGCAGAGGAAAAGAGAAATCCAGTAATGTTTCATTCACATAATTCTCCTGCCAAAGAGCAATACTGAACTGCAACCAATTGCACCACCTGCTGGTCAAAAGAAATAAGTTCACCACAATTAATTAGAAGACGAATGTTGGTTTTCACATAAATATATTGTCTTTATTCCAATATCAAGAATGAATTTACATTATTAAAACAAAAGAGAAAGATGAAGTGAAGATATTGTGAAATTTCATGTGACAGGAATTGTGAAACCTTTCATAGTTTTCATCCTGCTCTCACAAAGTCAAAGTACTACCGAAATAGATTCAGTGTTCTAGTTTTTACTGTCATCCTGCTGGAGATTAATAGCATGTCTTGCCTGAGGTAATGTCTATTTAAATATGTTAAAAAAATCTGTCAGTTGCTACTGCATTGCACTTTATCTGCATGTTCTAATATATATCAAGCAAAACAGGCAGTACTGAGATTACACTGTTTGACAGATTTTCAGAACTGTTCAGCAACGAGCCAGCCTAAATACACAGTCAAGAAGGAGATAAAGACCTATCTATCTATCTATATCTGAGGCAGGTTATTGATATCTATCTCTCTCTCTCTCTCTCTCTCTCTCTCTATATATATATATATATATATATATAGATAGATAGATAGATAGATAGATAGATAGATAGATATCTATCTATATATATATAAAATTAAGAAAAGGCTCTGAAATGATGAAAGGGCTTAATTGTTGGAGGCTTGGATGTTTGCCCACGGGATGCTTTCATTCAAAGCACAAAGCTGAATATCTATCATTAGTGCTCAAACATTTGTGATATAATACATGCACATTCATGTGATACTGACTTGCATCGTTCAGTTCAGCTTAAATCAGTTCAACACTTAAGGTTTTTGAACTTTTGCATTTACGTTTTTTTTTAGCTGGTCTTCATTTCATCAGAGTCCAGGTGTTTCAACGCACTTGCAAGCATGCTTTCAGCGTGAGCAAAAAGGCCACAAGTGCAGCAAATTTAACCAACACCAAAGCTGTTGTTTCGTTACCTTGTCATCCATCTCTTTGTAGAGCTTGGCCATTTCCGCCTCGTACTTCTGTTTCTCTGCATCTGTGAGTTTGACTCCTGGCAGGGAGCTCAGGGCAGGTTTGGGTGGCGTCTTGTCATTGTGGTGGGTGCTCTCCAGGGCCTGGACTACTTCTTTGGCCTTTTCTTTGTCAAACTGCTCATCCGCTGGCACACTCTCTCCTGCAGGGAGCAGCAGAAAGATGACATAAGAAGGTCTGTTTCCACCCTAAATAGCTCCCCATCAGAGAAAATATTATGACTGCACACACAGCAATCCTTTTTTTAACAGGTTCTTAATACAAAAAAAAAAGAAAAGAAATGAAAACTAGTTAAAATTAACGAGCCTTCATGTGTAACATTAGTGCAGGACAGGCATGGTTTTGCATATTTTTCCAGGAGACTGTTTGTCGTTATTAAATATAGAAACAAGGAGCTCTTTCTTTAAAAGCCTCCTGTTAGGATCCATGTGCAGCTCAACTCTAATTGCTAAACACAAGGACACAAGATTTAACCTTGTTATGAACATATCCATACTAACATTAAACACATTAAAACAATGTTCATATGTCTGCAAACTCCTCTGCCTCTGCTTTAATGACCCACACATAACCTGCCCATAATACAGCCTGTGGTCCTCACCGCTTCTCCAGCGGTTCAGCTCATTCTCAAGCCAGGTGACTGTGTTTCTCAGTGTCTTGTTCTTCTCCTTCTCTTTCTCCCATTTGCTCTTCCACTGCTCTGCTGTCAGTTCCACATTCATAGTCACTTGGTTCTTGATGGTCTTTGCTCTGGTGAGACACAGAGGTGAGAAAGTGGTAGCGGTCTGTTTTGAATACTAACAGCACACAGTTGAGGCTGGTTTTACCGCAGAGCCAGCTCAGAGGTCAGTGTTTCTGAGCTTAAGTCGGTGCCCTGTCTTTATGGAGTCAGACACCAAACCTATGGATCATTCATATTTATGACTGTAGACCACAGTCTTCTTTGCCTCTAATCTTTTAATATTAAAACGTAGCTATTTGTGGAACACCTTTCAGTTCAGTAACATCATTTGTACAGATGTGATGACAGGTTTGTGTCTACGTACCTCTGTCCAAAAAGCAAGGTAGACCTGGTCTCTGCATCATTGTAAGCCGAAGGTGAGCAGCAAATGACCATAGTTGTCCGACAGTTTCCTCCCAGGGAATCTTGCAAGATTCTGGTCATCTTACTGTCTCTGTATGGTATGTAGGACTAGGCAGATTGAGAGGGACCATATGTCGCATTATATGATCATTCTGCATGTCACAAACAGCATTTACAACAGTGAAGCATGTTGTGATGAAATGTAACTGAGCAATTAAAATTAAGGACTGCGGTCCACTATCATGTACTTACAAAATATAATATACTCAATTTGTAACATTTTAGCAATATAAAAACCCTCTATGGAAGCTCCTGAGCAGTAGGCCGATGGTTCATCTCAGGGTTCCTAGAACTTTGAAATAGGTGCAACTCCTGGGATATTCAGAGTGGCTTAGATCAGGTCTTATGATAAATCTATATGTAAAATGTATTCAGGTTCTATAATGCCGTCCTACAATAAAAAGAAACAGTAAATATTTAAAAAATGTCTCCAGCTGCAGGCTGATGTTCCTATTTTTGCACACAAGATTGTTCCACAGTATTGCAAGTCCTTTAACCTAAACAGCTACACAGGTGGTTTGTACTCTGATGATTTCACAACTTTTCATAAATATACACCTTTGCCTTCACATTTTAGCGTGCTGTGCTCATCTTTAGCATAATAGGTCCAATCTGGTCTGATAGTCCCCCCAGAACTGGAAATAGTCATAGTAATAACCAAGAAAATGGAGATATGATGTGATCAGTAGATCAACATCTATCTTGCACACATTACATGGTGATGTGCACATTTATCCAGTGTGTTAAGTGTTTAAGGCGCAGACATCAGCAGAAACAGTACAACAAATTCTTCGAATTCAGCGATCTGCCTCCATCTCACCCTGTCCCTGTCATCCTCTTCTGTCACACCAACTCTCTGCATGTCATACAACACTACATCCATGAATCTTCTTTGTTGTCTTCATTTTTTCCTCCTGCCTGGCAGCTCAATATTCAACATCCTTCATATCCACTCTCCCTTCTCTGAACATATCAAAACCACCTCACCCTTGCCTCTATAACTGTCTCCAAACTGTTCATTTTTACTGTCTCCGATGAACTCATTTCTAATCTGGTCCAGTCTGGTCACTGCCAGTGGAAGTCTTAGCATCTTCAGCTCTACCTCTCCTGTTTTTTTTTTGTCAGCCACCATCTTTAAACCATACATAATGGCAGGTCTAACTTTCATCTTGTAATTTTTCCCTTTCACTCTTGCTGCTGTCCTTCTGTCAAATCATCCCAACGCTCATCTCCACCCACTCCACCTTGCTTACACTCTCTTCTTCACCTCTCTTGTGCACTGTCTGTTGCTTTGGATGGTTTAAGGTATTTAAACTACCTCTGCTCCACCAGCTTCACAGCTATACCTGTCTCCTTCTTATTCACACACGTGCATTTTGTCATGCTTTTACTGGATTTCTTTATGCATGCTCAATCATCTAGGTGAGTAAATCCCAAAAGGTTGATTCTGTTCATCTGGACGTAGCGTTTCCAGTGGGAGAAACGTTTCGTCGCTCATCCAAGTGACTTCCTCAGTCTCAGCTGACTGCAGATTTCCCCAACCTTATAAAGAGCACATTGCACAATGACTGAGACTAGCACCACTGAATGAACAACGCTACGTCCAGATGAGCAGAATCAACCTTTTGGGATTTACTGGATTTCATTCCTCTTCTCTCCAGAGCATACCTCCACCTCTCCAGGCTCTCATCCACCTGCTCTCTATTGTCACCACAGATCCAAATGTCCTGTGTAAACATAATGGTTCACAGAGACACCTGCCTGGCCTCTTCTGTCAGCCTGTCCATGACCACCGCAAACAAGAAGCCGTTGAGAGCTAATGTAATCCCACCCCACTTCACAGCTCTGTCACCACGCTCATGCAAATATAACTTATGGGATCTTTTAAAAGATCTAATGAACGAATCAGCACGTTTGTGATAATAAACTCACTTCAGCCTCTCCTTTTTACGAATTTCATTTATAAACTTTGAATCACATTTTGGAGTGGCAGTAATTCTAACGCTTCACCAAGCAGAGTCGAAAACTGTCTCACCGAGCCTTCTGCCAGAGCTGAGATGACAATTCCCAGTGCAGACAGGGACTTGTTAATCATCTTGGCTTCATCCAGCACTGTACCCTCTGCTCCAGTTTTACCCACCTTTGAAACACAAAAACAGCACAATTGTTATAGTGAAGCTGAAAACTGTGTCACATAACAGATGCTCAGAACCTTTTTCTTTTAACAAGATCAGCTTAGTAAAAGAAAGTTGACAAAGCATGTCAATGGCTTTCCCGGAGTTTAGCGCTATGACTGGCCTGTTAACATTTTACACTTTACTGATGGAAGATTGCTCTAGTTTCCCCCCATGAACTGAAGTGGCAGCACGATAGCGTCATTAAACTTTTATCATACAGATCCATTTAATACAGACACACTTTGCCACTAGGGAAAAGGTAAATGAGAGTAAAAGAGCTGTTTCCACCCTGAGTTTTAAATCAGGCCTGGTTTCTACTCTATTAATAAACAACTACTTAAAAGCTACTCTTTAGCTGGTTCAAGTCAGAGGCGGGCTCTTGAAATTGGGAAAAAACACATTTGCAGAGGTTATGAAGATGAGAGAGGTCAGAGAGGAGGAGGAGGAGGAGTACTGAGGATCATACTTTTTCACTCCCAGCCAGATCGACGAGGTACAGCTTGCCGGTTAATTTCTGTTCAGTCTTACTGTTTTCCTGCTTGATGTTGATGAGGAAGATGCTGTGACTCCTGGAGCTGTGCTCATTCATGTCTGAATGTACATGTGGGCA